GTTATATATGCTTTACCACAATTTCTTTTTTTTTTTCTTTTTGTTTTTTTAAATACATGGCTTCACTCTGTTGCCCAGGCTGGAGTGCAGTGGTGCAATTGTGGTTCACTGCAACCTCAACCTCCTTGGCTCAAGCAATCCTCCTACCTCCTACCTCAGCCGCCTGAGTAACCAGGACCACAGGCACATGCCACTGCATCCAGCTAGTTTTTTAATTTTTTAATTTTTTTTTTTTTTTTTTTTGAGATGGAGTCTCGCTCTGTCACCCAGGCTGGTCTTAAACTCCCAACCTCAGGTGATCCGCCCACCTCAGCCTCCCAAAGTGCTGGGATTGCAGGCATGAGCCACGGTGCCCGGCCTAGTTTTTAAATTTTTTTGTAGAGATGGGATCTTGCCATATTGTCCAGGCTGGTCTTGAGCTCCTGGACTGAAGGGATCCTCTTGCCTTGGCCTCCCAAAGTACTGGAGTTACAGGCATAAGTCACCACATCTAGCCTATTTTACTAAAAAATTAAAAACGAAAGTGGGAGAGAGAGGAAGAGACTGGTGTCCACACTCTTCTAATTCTTTAGGGAAGAGACAAAGTCGATGCTTCCCATTGCATCCTGTATATGGTAAGGACTGAAATAAATGTTTGTGGATTAAATTCTATTTTTTCCCCTATAGTTAAACTTCTTTTAAAACCTTTTTTTTTTTTTTTTTTTAGACAGAATCTCACTCTGTTGCCCAGGCTGGAGTGCAGTGGCATGATCTCATCTCACTGCAACCTCCACCTCCTGGGTTCAAGTGATTCTCCTGCCTCAGCCTCCTGAGTAGCTGGGATTACAGGTGCACACCACCACACCCAGCTAATTTTTGTATTTTTGGTAGAGATGGGGTTTCGCCATATTGGCCAGGGTGGTCTTGAGCTCCTGACCTCAAGTGATCCACCTGCCTTGGCCTCCCAAAGCACTAGGATTACAGGCATGAGCCACCATGCCTGGCCATTTAAAACATTAAAAAATTTAGCTATAATTTATTTCTTTGTCTGCATTTGCAAAGGACTGAAAGTTACTAAATTGTTTATGAAAAAATCAAATGTAAACACGAATCTAGTTGACATGATACAATTGAAGAATGAAAAGAAAACAAACCCTAAGTACAATTATGCATATTTGCCACTATCTTTAAACTTGTATTAACTGCTGTTTAATAAGCTCTGGTTTCCACCCAGAATAGAGGATAAAGACTGCTTGCCTATTTGCCCTTGGCTCTTCATACGTTTGGGTCACAGCTCCAGGCTCTCAGCAGCCTGGTGTCCCTACTTCTACAGGCCATTTCCAAAGGCTCAAGTCCTTTCTTACACTAGCCTGCTCTCACAGGAGACCACATGCTTGGGCCATTGACCCTCCCACTCTCTCTGTCTCCCAGAAAAGGAAGAAGCTGCCATTTATCCACTGGTTGCCAAGAAAATAATTAGACACAAAGTGCACATCAGCAGCACAAGTGCCTGTGGCAGCCTTTTCCAAGCTGATGAGGCTAAGCAATCTTTTTTCTCGCGGGGGTGGTTTCTGTCTGCACAGAGGGAATTAAGCTATGGGTATTCAGAGATGAAGTAAATGACACAACTTCCTTAGCAACCATCAAATACACACTGGTTGCTAACTCTAGTCCACTAACGAAGGTTCCTTTTTGTTTTTCCTAAAGGGATGACATCTTCTTTCCTGCTGTGAATCAAACTTCCTAGAATAGATCTTTGAAAAACACACTAAATATGTCACAGTATATCCTCGCAAGGGAATAATGTGCAGAGGTAAGAAAGAATGAACGAGCACTTTTTGTATGATATGGCACACTCTCTGACAAGCATAAAACAGGTCATATACTCTGACACCAGAGTGCAGAAAAGGGAAGAGAACATTTATACACACATGCTGGCGTAAGCACAGGATAACTCCGGAATGATTCACAGGAAACTGGTATCTCTGGTTGTCTCTTGGGAGTGAAAGTGCTAGGGGTCAGGGCTGGAAAGAAAACTTTTCACCTTCGATAGCTCCCAATGTTCATATCATATAAAAATATTATTCATCAGGAGGCTAAGGTGGGAAAATTGCATGAACCTGGAAGGTGGAGGTTGCAGTGAGCCGAGATTGTGCCACTGCACTCCAGCCTGGGCAACGGAGTGAGACTCTGTCTCAAAGGAAAAAAAAAAAAAAAAAAAAAATATATATATATATATATATATATATATAAAATTCATTCAGAATAAGCATACATAATAAAACATAAATAAACATAAATATAATTTAAACAGAATATATCAAAGTAATGATAAGATATTATTTCTCTTCACTCAGCACACTGCAGTGACTGACCAGCATCCTTCATCACAAGATGCTGGCCTGGGTGGGGTTGGATTATAGGGTATTTCTTTTTTTTTTTTTTTTTGGAGACAGTCTCACTCTGTCACCCAGACTGGAGTGCAGTGGTGGGATCTTGGCTCACCACAACCTCCACCTCCAGGATTCAAGCAGTTCTCGTGTCTTAGCATCCCGAGTAGCTGAGATTACAGGCATGCATCACCACACCCGGCTAATTTTTGTATTTTTAGTAGAGATGGGGTTTCACCATGTTGGCCAGGCTTATCTTGAACTCCTGACCTCAAATGATCTGCCTGCCTCGGCCTCCCAAAGTGTAGGGATTACAGGTGCGAACCACTGCACCTGGTCAAAGGGTATTTCAAAGGCTCTTTCACCTACAACAAGGACTCAGGTCAGGGAATCCATGAACAGAGATGCAGCAAGGAGGAGTTGCAGACAGGGTCTGGGGGAGGCTGAGGCAGGATGGGCATGAAGATCTTTAAGGGTCTTGCAAGCCCCCAGTATGACACCACCCAAAATCTCATTCCTGTCTTAGGATCAGGCTCTGTCTGCCCCCAGGCACTGCCTGTTGGTACCTGGAACAGCACAAGGGCTGGCTGCTCTGGGATTTTCCTCTTTAGGGATGGGAGGTGTAGGGCAATGAGTGAAACGAATAGTCAGTGATCATGGAAAGTTGGGCTCTGACTCTGGTGAGTCCTGTCTTGGAGTGGGAGTGGTGGAAAAAGCATCGTATCAGGGACAGAAGGCACGAGAAAGGCTGCTTCCCTTTTCTAGGCCTCAGTTTCTTCCTCTCCAAAATGGGTAGAATAAAGCCTCCCTTTTTTTTTTTTTTAAGACAGAGTCTCGTCCTTGTTGCCCAGGCTGGAGTGGGCAATCTCCGCTCACGGCAACCTCTGCCTCCCAGGTTCAAGTGATTCTCCTGCCTCAGCCTCCTGAGTAGCTGGGATTACGGACACCTGCCACCACACCTGGCTTTTTTTTTTTTTTTTTTTTTTTTTGCATTTTCGGTAGAGACAGGGTTTCACCATGCTGGCCAGGCTAGTCTTGAACTCCTGACCTCAGGTGATCCACCTGCCTTGGCCTCCCAAAGTGCTAGGATTACAGGTGTGAGCCACCGCGCCCGGCCTGTGGAGGCACTTTCTAATTACCACGTGGCGTGCACACACACGCACAGTGCTAGTTAATAACTTGCTCAGACACGTGTCCGATTGCTCAAGAATCTTGCTCATGGGAAAAGCAAACCCAGAAGCTATGAAATAAGAAGTCTTCTGGACACCATCTCTATTAAAAGAAGACAAGGTCCTGCCTACACATCCTTAATCAATAGCAGAAACTTGTTACTGGTCCCTCCCCACACTGTTAGATATCCTTGCCCTAGAATCACCTGTTCACACTCAAAGCCCTGCCAGCCCGGCCTGGAGTCCTGCAGGGGTTAATGGAGGGGAGGAATGCCTCAGCAGATGCTTCTGCCTCTGCCCCAGAGTCCCAGGAACAACGCAACACAACATGGTTGCAGAAACCCCCACCCTGAAGGGCAGGCAGCAAACCACAGGAAACGGTGACTGGCGCTGAGAACCTGTCACTTCCTGCTTCTGGAGCACCCCTCTAGAGGGTGGAAGGCCTCAAGGCTCTACTTGTGGGTGGGACAGATGGGGTAGGAGGAACGAGGTGAGCAGAGTCCCTTTCTATGTTTTCCTGGTGCCTTCTGGTCAGAGAAACTCCCGCCCCCTTCTAACACCATCCTGGGCCCCAGGAGGCTCTGAGTCGGTTTTGAGGAAAGACAAGGAGCCTGGTGAGCCCAGCAAAAGGCAGGGGGAGCCCAGGGCACAGGGCGGCTGCCCAGAGGGACCCTGGGGCACAGGGCGGCTGCCCGGAGCTTTTGTTAGGGGAGGCCTATGGGAAGGGAACATGGACGCACGGAAGGTTCCTCCCTACACTTGAATCACCAGCTCTCAGGATATCCCTTAGAAGCCACCTTCTCCCTCTCCCCTGGGAAGAGGGGACAGGAATTGACTCAAGTCCACACAGCAAAGGGTGCCAGAGCTGAGACTAGATCAAGGTTCTCTGCACCCCAAGCTCCTCAACTGCAAACTAGAGCAGAAAGGGGAAGGGAGAAAGCCAGGGAGACCGCAAGGGTGGGGGAAGGGTGTGGGGTGTGGAGGGAGGAGTGCCAGCAGCTTGAGCCTTCTCCTGATGGCCCCAGGGAGCCATGACAATTGAATCAGGAGAGCATCAGGGGCAGAGACAATTTTAGAAGTACTGAGGCTGCTGGAGAGCAGGATGGATTGCAGAAAACAAGATGAGACGCAAGGTGACCAGTTCAGGAATGAAGCTCCAAGCAGTGGAAATCCAGTCTCCTATGACACACTACAGGAATGGGAAGAGCTCTGAGCTGATGGGGCAGGATTCAGCAGCTGGGGGCTCACAGAGGGAGCAGAGCACGTAGCAGGGGGAAGCTGGAGATGTAATGGGAAAAGGAGAGCTTTGGTCTGTGGTCAAGGTCAATCCAGAGAAACATGGAAGAGGTTAAACAGGAAGGAAAGGGTTGATGTTTTTAGAGGGCTGGTTCATCTCTGAAGTCAGACACCCAACCTGCATTGCTGCCCAGGGCCAGGCCCCTGGTGAGACCCTGCCACTCACCAGTCCCCGAGGTGAAGCCAGGCTGCTGGAAGTTATAGTTCTTGATTTCACTGTACCATCTATCAGCCACCTCCTTTCCTGTGTGGAAATGACATTGTTCTAAAACTCAGCCACAAAATCCACCCACTCCCTGTTGCCTGCATCTCCTCCCATTAGCCCCAAGCCACCTATCCAGCAATTAGACATCTGAGAAAGCCCCAGTCAGCTGATGCATCCTAGATGCTGCTTTGCAGACTCCTAGGGACTCCTGCCCATGAGCATGGCCAGGCTGAAGAGTGGGCCTTCTGGGGGGCTGGGAAGAGCACTGGCCTGGGGTCAGGGAACCTGCACCTATCCCCCCACAACCCACACACACTGACTTGCTGTGTAATCCTGGGCAAAGCCTTCCCTCTCTTGGTCTCAGTACAATGAAAAGTTTGAAGGCAATATACTGCAAGGGCCTTCTGATGATGCTCCGAGTTTCTAGGAGACTATACTGTCATCTCACCCCAAGTGCTGCTCTTGAAACATCCATAGTTGGAAAGACAATCAGGCTGGTAAGCCAAGGATCTCCACTGTGGGCAGGAGGGCCCTCACCTGGGGCATCCACTGTTCCCACAGGTGTTGATATGGGCAGGCATTTCCCTGGGAGCTGATGCTCTCCCGGCCAGAGCCAGGAGTGGGGACCTCAGAGCAGTCAGTCTCAAATGTGTGCAAGAATCTTGTTAACGGGCAGATTCCGATTCAGTAGGTCTAGGGAGGGACCTAGGATTCTGCATTTCTGCTCCCAGATGCTACTGCTGATCCATGTTCCACACATCAGCCTCACCTGGAGAGCATTTAACAAATACTAATGCCTGGGTCCTTCCTCAGACCAACTGTGTCTGTCTCTGGAGGACAGACTCAGGCATTTTTTGTTGTTGTTGTTTGTTTGTTTGTTTGTTTTTTCTGAGACAGAGTTTTGCTCTCGTTGCCCAGGCCAGAGTGCAACGGCACGATCTCAGCTCACAGCAACCTCCGCCTCCCAGGTTCAAGCGATTCTCCTGCCTCAGCCTCCTGAGTAGCTGGGATTACAGGCATGTGCCACCACACCCGGCTAATTTTTGTATTTTTAGTACAGATGGGGTTTCTCCATGTTGGTCATGCTGGTCTCGAACCCCTGACCTTAGGTGATCAACCTGCCTCTGCCTCCCAAAGTGCTGGGATTGCAGGCATGAGCTACTGTGCCTGGCCTGGTATTTTTTTTAAAGTTTCACAAAAGATTCCAATGTGTGGCCAGAGTAGGGAACCACTGGCTCAGAGACCACCTACCCAACCCCCTCTCTGTAGAGACGGGAAACTGGGGGCAGAGGAGGGAGGGACCTGCTTAAGGCTCCCAAGGGAGCCCGTGCAAGGCTGGGATGGACCGTGTCTCCTGAATGTCCACCTTCCTGCCTATGCCCTTCTCCCGGGGCCCATCAAGGGCCACAGCCTGGGCTTGGGAAGGAGCCTGCAGGCTGAGGGCGTGGCCTCGGAGGGAGGGGTGAGTAGGGGGTTCCCCAGGAGCTCACACACGCCTCCCAGTGGGGGTGCCAAGGACCATGCTGCACAGGAGCCCTGGCTTAGGCTGCCCTAGGGAAACCAAGAGGACTCGGGGGAACTCCCAGGAATGTGAGGCTGGGGAGGGAGTGAGTCATTCTCCCACTGGTGTTTGGAGAAAGCTTCAGAGATCCAGATAGCTCTCCAATATTCTTCCTAAAAAGCCACATCAGGGCTGTCAGGGTCAGAGGGTCAGAAAGCTCAAGAATGTGCGGGCAGCGCGGTGGGATCATTCCAGATTGAGACCTTGCATGGAGACGTTGTCTTTTCCATTATTATTATTTTTTCCAAAATGGAAAAAGCTCTATTGCTTTTCTTCTATTACAAAAGTAATACACCAGCACTACTGGTAGTGTATCACCAGTACAGTAGGAAAGTAAAATTTCTCGGGAAGAAAATAACATTTCTCGGTAGCTGGGGATGCTCTGGTGCCCACAGAATCAGGCTGAGATTCTGTACAAAAGCGGTCTGTCTCCCCAGCCCCCACTCCTTGGCCTCGGAGCTTCTCCGAAAGTGGGGGCCTGGTCAGTCTGACTCATCTCTGTGTCCCTGGCACCCGGCACAGGCCTGGCACTGAGCCAGCCATCAGAGACCTTGTGGTGAACTGAAGTCAGCCTGGGAGCAGATTCAGAGAGCTCTGGTTTTCCTTTCCTTTCCTAGGCCTGTGGCTACACCGCGAGGGTGCTGGAGCCAGGAGGCATTTGAGGAGGACTTGTCCTTCCAACTCCCGCAGAGAGGAGAGGAGCTGAAAATGTGACCCACCTGTCTGATCGTAGGATGCCCATGCGAGGTTCTCCCCACACTGGCCGCGGCTGGACTCTGGGCTGTGCTTGAGGATCCTCGTGCTGGCCAGGGCTTCAGAATACCTGCAGAGTCCACAGTGCCTCCTCAGAGCAGGTGCAGTTCAGAGAACCCCCAAAGTATGTGCCCCAAGCTAGTGTGGCTGAGTTTCCTTCCCTGCCCAGGGCTCACAGAGGAGCTAGCGGAACACCACTCCTGCATGACTGCTGAGCCTCCCAGCAGTCCCATTCCACAGAGGAGCAAGTCGAGGCTCAGGGGAACAAAGGGACCTGCCCAGGAGAGTGACAGAGTGGTTATTCAAGTGTGGTTGTATCTGATCCCAAAACCTGGTCCCCGAAACCATGTGGGGCCCCCCAACCTTTTTTTTTTTTTTTTTTTTTTTGAGATGTTGTCTCACTCTGTCACCCAGGCTGGAGTGCAGTGGCATGATCTTGGTTCACTTGGTTCACTGCAACCTCCACCTCCCGGGTTCAAGCGATTCTCCTGCCTCAGCCTCCCGAGTAGCTGGGACTACAGGCACCCACCACCACACCTGGCTAATTTTTGTATTTTTAGTAGAGATAGTTTCACCATGTTGGCCAGGCTGGTCTTGAACTCCTGACCTCAGGTGATCCGCCCGCTTCGGCCTCTCAAAGTGCTGAAATTACAGGTGTGAGCCACTGTGCCTGGCCACAGGGCCCCTTTGCGACTGCAGCAGTGGCACATGAAGGGCCCAAGTCACCCGGATGTGCTAGGGGACTCACTGTTGAGCCTCCCGGTTGAGCTTCTTGCAGAGCTTCAGTGGGGGGACGCCATGCTTCTGCCGATACTCATTGTGGGCCTTCAGGACCTCATTATGAAACTGTTTGGAAGCTGGAATGATTGCAAAATGGAGAATGGCTCAGTGCAGAGAAAACACTCATCAAAAGTGTAATGGCATGCTGAAAGCAACACCCAGCTCAAACCTCAGGCCATGTGGACGGGCTGCTGCTCCCCTCCAACACCTGGCACCCCAGCCAAGTGGCCCTGCTCCACGCCACTGCTCACTCTACCTGGCATTGTGCTCCATATCTCTGCACATCTAAAGCCCATGGATCATGTGGGGCCGTATGGGCCATGTTAGGGATTTGGGTCTTTATCCAAGGCAATGGGGAAGCCACTGAAAGGGAGCAGGGCAGTGAGCTCCATGTGTTTCTCAGAGACCCTGCTGGCTGCTAAGTGGAGGATGCACAGAAACACAGAGCAGATTTGGGGACCTGGACAGTCAGCAATAGGACTTCGGAAGTAAAATATCTGAAGGAGACCGGGTATCTCAGGCTAGATCTAGGGAGAGCAGAGGGGACCGGAACGGGCCAGAGCTGGGAGTCCAGAAAGAGGCCTCCTGGCTGGGGAGGAAGGCACCTATGCTGGGTGGGTGAAGCCAAGGAGACAGAGGGACAGACAAAGAGACAAGGGAAGGACAGCCCTGGGGAAGCAGAGTGTGAGGGTGAGTTTTAGGTGCCGACTTGACTGAATTAAGGAATACCTCGAGAATTGGTAAAGCATTATTTTGGGGTATGTTTGTAGGGGTGTTTCTAGAGGAGACTGGTATGTGAGTCTGAGTGGGGAAGATCCACTCTCAACGTGGGTGGGTGCCATCCAATCAGACAACCTGGGGACCCACACAGAAACCTACTGCAGCGGCAGAGCCACCGCAGAGTCCCCACTAGGACAGTGCCTAATGGAGTTGCAGAAGTGCAGCCACCCCAAGACCCCAGAACTGTGGAGCTACCAGCATGCAACATGGGCCTGGGAAGGCTGAAAGCATGAGGCTTTGACCTGAGAGAGCTGAAGCCGGACAGCCCTAAGCCTTGGGGGTGGGGCTGCCTGAGGCCCTGGGGCCCAACTCCCACCCAGTGTGCCCAGGAGGCAGGAGATGGAATCAGAGGGGATTATTCTCCAGCCTTAAGATTGAATGTTTTCCCTACTGTGTTGTGGACTTACTTGGGACCAGTTACCTTCTTTCGTATTTCTCCCTTTTGGAATGAGAATGTCTATCCTATGCCTGTCCCACCACTGTATTTTGGAGTAGATAAGTTGTTTTGATTTCACAGGCTCACAGCTGGAAGGAATATGTCTCTGGGTGAAGTGTGCCTTAAATCTCACCTGTATCTAATTTAGATGAGACTTTGGACTTTGCGTTGGTGCCAGAACAAGTTAAGACTTGGGGCTATTGGGATGGAATGAATATATTTTGTATGTGGGGAGGACATGAGTTTTGGGGAGCCACGGGCAGAATGCTTTGGTTTGAACGTCCTCTCCAAAACTCATGCTAAAATTTAATTGTCAATGTAACAGTGTTAAGGAGTGAGATCTTTAAGAGGTGATTAGAGGGCATTATCACAGGACTGGGCTCCTGGTAAAAGAATGAGTTTGGCCTGGCCTTCTCCCTGTCTTGACTGCTTACTTGCCCTTCTGCTTTTCCATGGGATAATGCAGCATGAGGGCTTCATCAGATGCCAGTGTCATGCTCTTGGACTTCCCAGCCTCCAGAACTGTGAGCCAAATAAACGGTTTTTTAATAAATTACCCAGTGTGTGGTATTCTTTTATACCAGCAGAAAATGGACTAAGACACAGAATAGGAGAAGAGTGTAGCAAAGAAAGTGGAGGTGGTGGGAGGGTAAGTGGTATGATCAGCAGGCCCAGGGCTGCAGTGGGGAAGAGGTGAAACCCATGCCCAATTAGGTCATGATCTCAGAAAGGGCAAAGTCAAGGAGGCTGTGGTTAGGGAGAGAATAAGTAGGTGAAGCCAAAAGCAAGCCAGATCAATAGTGAACAGAAGCCATACCAATTTGGATCTGAAATGATCCCCATCCATCCATCCATCCATCCATCCATCCATCCAACATCCTCCATCCATCCATTCAATATCTTCCATTCATCTGTCCATCCACCATTCATTCAACATCCTCCATCCATCCAACATCCTCCATCCATCCACCCATCCACCTAATATCTTCCATACATCTATCCATGCAACATTGTCATCCATCTAACATTACCCATCCATCCAGCATCATTCATCCATACATCTACCATTCATCCAAGGCCCATTCATCTATCCTCCATTTACCTGTTCATCTGCTCTCTGAGTGCTTCCCCTGTGCCATGTCCCATATTGTGTGCTAAGGGTCCAGAGACAAGTCAGTCACATGTTGCTCTCAAAGAGCTCATATACAGAAGGCAGGCAGCCTTGTAAACAGACACTAGCCATGCGATAGGTGTCAAGATGCAGGTAAGCATAGATGCAAAAGGAACTTGGAGATTAACCTAACATGGGATCAGGAAGGAGGCAACTCCCAATATGAGGCCCCAGAAATGTCTGAACAGGGGCCAGCCAGCCAGGCTATGATGAAGACACCGAGCACCTTACTCAGGAATCTGAGAGTTCCCTTCTGTGGAAATGGGGGTGAGTTGGATGGGTTCTGAGTGAGGGCCACAGAAAGCCCTTCTGCTGAACTGGTCCCATCAGGCCACAGCCTGTCCCTCAAAGACTGGCTGTGGGTAGTGGCAGGAAGGGTGTGAACCATAAAGGAAGTGCCACGCTCTTCCTCTACCCCAGGTCACCTTCACCGGTGCCTTTCTCCTACTCTGCTGCCTTTCACCCAAGGCTGAGGAGATGATGCAACAGGGAGTCCTCGTCCCTTTTCTCATAGCCAGATCTCCCATGTCTCCTGGGCCCTCAAGTCAAATCCCATGGAATTTCTGAGGGGACGTAAGGGAAAGAAGACCCAGGGCTTGCCTTCAGGGGGTTTGGGGGCTGCAGACCCAGGAGCTGCAGACCCAGGAGCTACAGACCCAGGAGGGGAAGGTAACTGCAGGTCACACCTTCATGGTGGAGCTGTCCATGGGCCTTCTGAGAAAGAGGAAGTAGACTGTTAGATAAAGAGTACGTGGACCAAGCTCTAGAACTTGGGCTCATTAAGGCTGTCCAGTGAGGTCCAGTCACAGTAATGTGGGCAGGGCAGGGATATGGGGGCTCTGAACCCCAGGATTGTGAGGTTTTGGTTGCCAGGCAGAGGTGGGGAGACCTGGAGGTGGAAACTGATCATGGGGACAAGCGTTAAGGCAGAGGGCGGAGCTACAACCTGAAGTATCAGGACTTCCTGGCCAACAGGCAGACCAAGCCCTTGTCAATAGGAAAAACAAAGATTTCAGGTCTACGGTGGAGAGGAGAAAAGCCAGAGGTGTTGTTTAACGTGTATAGAGTTTCAGTTTGGCAATATGAAAAAGCTGTGGAGCTCTGTTGCATAGCAATGTAAATATACTTAACTCTACAGAACTGCACACTTAAAAATGGTTAAGATGATACGTTTTATATTATGCATTTTTACCATGATAAACAAAAAGATTTCAGGGTTAGCATGTTAATGTGGAATTTGGGATAAGGAGTCAGAGAGGCTTTTAAAGAATATCTCACAGGGAAATGCCAGGGGCGATGGCAACTCATGGGACCCCGATGGGGGTCTTGTTGACCAGTTTAAGAAGAGTCAGCTGGGTAGCATGGCCTCCGGGAACCCAAGGGTTCTTGGGCCATGGGCTGCTTCCCCAGCCTGGTCCCTGCTTTGTGCAAGAGACAGTGGTGATTTGAGGTGTGTTGAGGCTGGAAAGGCGGTTTAATGAGGAATTGGTACAAGGATGGGGAATGTTCAGCCTGGAAAGGATCAGCCTCTGGAGGACACACTGGAGGCCCCTGATGAATTCTGGGGCCCTGAGGGAAAGCTTGGGCCAGTGGGTAGAAAGGCAGGATGACAGATTTCAGCTCAGTCTAAGAAAGATCTTTCCTAGTTAAAGCTTCTGACGACCTAAAGGAACTACCTCACAAGGTAGTGAGCTCTCTGCCACTGAAGGAATTCAAGCAGGTGAGCCCCTCTTGGAGGGACTCAGGCCCTGAGTTAGAGGACCTTCAAGTCCCTTCCAATCCTGAGATCCTGTAACATCCCGCTGGGGTAGGAGTGAGAGGAGACAAGATGAACAACTGACCCAAGACGTGCAGGAGTTTCCCAAACAAGCTTCTCTCAGGAGCCACTGATCAGAACAAGTGAGTGTGCAGGCAAGGGCCCATATGGGTGACACCGCCAAGGTGACGGGGGTCCCCATCCGAGTGGCAGGGTTGTCCAGGCCCATCCTAAAGTCCCTTCTAGCTCCCATGTCCCGGACAGGCCACGGTGGGTCTCGTGGGACACCACGGGAGATGCACGAGGCTGAGTGGCACGTGCAGTGGTGACCACAGATGCGTCAGGGAAAGGAGGGCTCCCTGGAGGAGGTGTTCCTGGCTCAGGAAGCATGAATGGAGGAGGCAAACAGCAGAGAAAGAGCCAGGGTGAAGGGACCACGTGTATCCTGGGGCTCTGAAGAGGAGGGGGAGACAGGGGAGTGGGTGGTTCGATAAGGGGAAGCCAGTTGAAAGGCAGCCTGAGTGCTGGGGTCAGTTTGCACTGGATCCCATAGTGCTGGAGGCCCTTAAGTTTCCTTGGCAGAGAGGGACATATAAGGCTGCTAAAAACTAGGTCACTGCACTCCCAGAATGTGGGAAGTAAAAAGAAACAAAAGTGAAAGGTCCTGTGTCCAAGCAAAGCTCAGTGCTCAGAAGCTGCAGCTAGGCACTGTGTCCGCCAGTGCCAGGCCCCTGAGCCAGGGTTCTCTGGAAGCAGCCAGGAGGCCTTTCTGGTAATCGGTGGCGGGGAGCCCTCTCTCACCACTCCTGGCAACCACACCTTGGGCAGCCCCAGGAGTCCCCTCCCACCAAGGCAACCAGTCCTAGCCCAGGTGGCTCCTCTGAGAGGGCTGCCGCCCCAGGGAGGCAAAGTTATCAGTGGCAGCCACACCTAA